TCAGTTATTGCAATTGCAGTTAATGCTGCTGACAAATGATGCTTTTAAATTTTTAATTTGGAACACCTATCCATTGCAATTTCACAATAATTTAATAAAAAAAAAAATAGCAAAAATGTCTTAATTTACTTGTACAGTATAGGATCTGTAATATTTTAAAAGATAAATGTAATATGCTAAAGATATTTGATGCAACTAAAAATGAGACCTATAGAATTAACTCATTACCAAATTTGTACTAACATGTCCATGAGCAACATGATGAGTGAAGAATGTGGAGAAGAATCTGCTTACCATTTCGGAGCACCTCTTAGATCGCCCTGGAACAGTTTTCTATGTTGTGTTTAGTGGAGTGTTATTTGCTTTTTGGTCATTTATCTTCTTTTGACATGGTGTTGTCAGTTTTTTTTTTTTCGACTTATGAGTTTGAATATCCCTGAGGTATCTTATGCATCTGTTTTAAAAGTAGTAAAGATTTGAAACAAAATAGGTGTCAAACGTTTGAAGATTGAGAAAAAACATCTTGAAAAACATGAATAAATCCAACCTTTATGAAATTACAAATTCTGATCTTATGCACATTAGCCGAAATTTACACTGTTTCCATTGGAATGTAAACGTTTAAGAAGAAATTTATAGCTCATTTTCAAAAAATTATGTCATGTAGATGATTGAAATTAGTCACACAAGCTTAAGAAAAATAAAGTCAAATTTAAATATGTTCTCAATTTTCTTAATCATGTATGAGATGGATGTGTATTTTATTGACTAAATGATCAAAAGGCTTAATTGGGTAATTTCTGTTCATTTTGCAGTTTGATATTGAGAAATAAATGGATAACGTGTCCATGAGACACACTTAATGCCTGGCCCTCCGGTGACGGTGGGGGCATAAAAATAGGGACTGCCATTTTTAAACGAGCATTTTTAAGGTCAGAATGTGTCTCCTGAATTTACTATTAAGACATTTATTTACTTTTTTGTATAATTCTTTTTTTGAAGTCCATTTTCATGGAAAACTGGATATATTATGTTACTCTGTTGATGGATGTGACAGAATGCAAAATAAAGGGATGCCATATATGAGCAATAGGAAAACTATATAGATCATCAATAATGCAGTGATCAACATTAAGTTCTTGTTGTTAGGTCAGTTTCTCAGATACTACAAGCAATAGGTCAACTAAATTTTGTTTATAGAATGATTTTAAGGTTTACATGTCCATCTAGTAGGGTTCATCTGCCCTTAACCTATGTTTTAATGATTAATTGGTCAACTTTAAGTTTTCTAGGTTACAAGTACACATACATGACATAGGATGCCTGGGTACCATGATCTTAAATTTTTCATCATAAAATGCAATCATGATCAGTAAAGCAGGCCAGACATTTCAAAGTGTTCACTTTTGTTGTTTTTTTTGGCCATCATCAGCAATCCTTTTAAAATTCATATCGCATATAGCCTGGAAATATAATTGCAGTTAAATTATTGTTTTACACCAGATGTGATTGATAAAACCTTATATAAGGTTCTATTTGGTTACCAAAGATTGATTTTTAGTCTATTGCTGAAGGGAATTCTTCACTGATATTGTAGATTAAAACATAATAAAGCTTCTAGTTTCCATTAAGAATGACAATAGAGACATCTTTATTAATCTCAACTTGGATAACTTCTGATATTAAGAAATGAAATCATTGATACTTAAACTGCAGATTTTATGTAAAGTGACAAGTACTTCTCTACAAGTACAGTTGATAATATTAGAATATTTGAAAATCCATATAAAAATAAGGAGATGTGGAATGATTGTCAATGAGACAACTATCCACCAAAGTTCAAATGAAGTGGATGTAAGCAATTATAGGCAACCGTACAGGCCTTTAACAATGAGAAAAACCCATACAGTATGGTTGGCATTAAAAGGCCCTGACATGAAAAATATGAAACAATTCAATTGAGAAAACTCACAGACTAATTTATAACAAAACAATTTACGAAAACAAAAAAGACAGACATGAACCAACAACAACCACTGAATTACAGGCTTGAGCGCTCAAAAACATGTTTATACATGAAAAACATGAAAAACAATGTGAAAAAAGAGAGAAAATTAAGATACCAGAGGAAAAATGAAAATAAGTAAAAAAAAAAAAGAAGAATGTGTCTGAGGACACGAATGCCCCCACTCAAACTTTGCAGTTTTTCAAGTTTAAAAGGGGCATATCTCTAGAACGGTAAATGACTCACTTTCCAAATTCAAACTCTATCTGCAAGTTTTGGTTCTGTTCATTGTGTATGAGTTTCATAAAATTTGGATGAGGAAAGTTAGAGTGCGAAAAAGAAAATGGGACGGACGGAAAGACTGATGGAAGGATGGTCAAAGGTTACAAACACTTAATGCCCCCATTGCCTATGGCGGGGGCATAAAAATCAGACAATACCAAGTTGTGAGGTTGCAGAAATTCTGAGATTAAACATTTCACTTTAAACATTATTGTTTTCCCTTACATTGTAGTGTTTCAGCCTTGACCTTCCATTATTGTTTTCCCTGACATTGTAGTGTTTCAGCCTTGACCTTCCATTATTATTTTCCCTTACATTGTAGTGTTTCAGCCTTGACCTTTCAATTTTTGGCGTCAGTTTTACTTCAAACTAAATTGGAATGAGTTAACCTAACTTTCTGTTGTAGTAAACATGACAATATGTAAGTTAAGCTTCCATCAAATGATGAAATTACAGCAATGTAATGCAGCGACTAAGTTATGTTAAAGTCATTATATATCTTGTAAAATCAGGCTAAAAAAGATTTGTACTAGTACTTTGTGTGCATATATCACAATAGTCATAGATTACTTGTTCATTTATGTAGAAAGAATAATAAATTATGATTTTTAATAAATATGAAAAATATTCATATATATATGTTTACAGTGTATGATTTCAAAAGTTGGCAAATGTCCAGAAGAAAAAAAAGACATGGATATGTTATTTGGCAATAATTCATAATTGATACTTATAGAAGAAGGATAAAAATTTAATGTCCATTATTGTTGACTTAAATATTAAAATGAAAATACATTTGGTATTGGTGTAGGTTATTTCATATTGGTATACAGATTAAAGCAATGTAAATACTATCTAAGTGTTTAAGTGTCATTGGTAATGTGATGATATAAAATGCCTCATGCTGTGTAATGGATCAGGCTAACAGAGGCTGCTACAAAAAATCGTCAGAAAACTTGCAGATCTCATAAGCTTTAATCATGATTTATTGTTTAAGAGGGGAAAGTTATGCAATGTGCATGCTGCAAGGGGTTTTTTGTCTGCATGCGATTGGATTGATCTCCTTTTGTTTGAAATGAAATGATTGATTGATTGTTGCTTGTTTAACATCCATGAATTACAGTAGATTTGGTTCATCTAAGTCCATGAGACAGTAACCTAACAACATGATTAACTAAAAAAAGTGTCTTTAGAGAAGCATATTTAAAATTGAGTGGAAAAGAAAAGATGTAATGGATTAATCTGTACATACACTTGTTTGTTCTAGATCAAACAAAATCTGTACACACACTTGTTTGTTCTAGATCAAGTTTTAAAGAAAATTATCCATCAGAAACCTACTTGTACATGTACATGTTGAAATATTTCCGTGCAAATTTCCAGGAAAATAATGAATAAATAAAAATATATAAAATCTTTTGAAAACTTGATATTTAATACAGTAATAAATTATGCCAATTTTTTTTCTTCATTAAAAACATTAGTTAGTATTTACGTTTATATATATATTGTCCCTCGGTTCAAAACACAAAACATATGATTGTCTCGTATAATATTATAATACAATTTATGCAAATGAGATAAACTTTTGATCCTCTTACAGTAAATAAGAAGTTCTTTAGATGTTACATGTATTTTCTAATTATACCTTTATACATGTCATAAGAAGCAAATTATTTTTAAAGTATTTTGATTAATGTTTTTAAGTGTACTAGATGTCAGTATAGAGATTGTCTGTTGTCTGTATTAAACAAAGCTATCAGATATTTGGTTTAAAATGTCCTTTCTTATATTTGAACAGATTTTGTTAATAACTTATATAATTAGTATTAGATTGAGCTCATTCAAGATAACATTACCTAGTGTTATTTACATGTATTTTGTTTATAAAAAGTATGAGTTGAAGCCCTGTTGTCACTATCAAAGGTAACTTGGTCCAAGTCATTTATTGTCACTATCAAAGTTTTTCATCAAAAACTTCATAAATAAAACTTTGACCAGGTAAACTTGGTCCAAGTCATCAGTTGTTACTATCAAATTTTTTCATCAAAATATGGTCAAAGAAAAAACTTCAATGTGATTGGGTAATTCCTGTCCATCCAAGTTTCAAGAAAAATAGGATGAGATTCTATTCTATCCAAGTATGTCAAAGTTTTCTTTGCCAATTGCCACTTTAAAAAAATCCATCAAAAACTTTGACCGAAGAAAACTTGTTCAAGAAACTTTGATAGTGACAACGGGCCTTAAGTAACACTAACAGTGGAAATATGATTTTGCTGCAAAAATTTCTACAGATCTTCTCTTGTAGTTTAAATTCTATAAAGTTTACTTTAATCTTTTTGCGTAATGAATTAAAAAATTAAGATCATTTAGATCTTACATGTGAATGTAGAACTCTGTCTGGTAAAATCCTTAACCTTCATCATCTCAAAGTCAAATAATAAATTGATAAATGCACTAAAAATATTTCAGAAATGATAAAGCTTGCAAAGTGGTAAAGCATCATTTATCAAATCATCTGTCATGTGTATACATAAGTTTGATTGTTAAATCATTTCAGTATTTAGGATTTCACTTTTCTGTTGAGGATTCACCTGGAAGATACAAGTTCCGGATGGTAGAATTTTCTTGCCTCAGAAAATGTGAGAATAGTTCAATTGAGATAATATTACAAAAAAGTAATAAATGCATATATATATTTATATTGTAATAGAGTAAAAGAATAAGAGAAGCAAATGTCTTGATCCAGAGCAGAATTGGTTGTGCTGACCAAAATGGAGACAGTTCTCCTTGAGAGGAGACCGGTCAGATGTAATTACATGTACAAAAGCCACTACATTGGAGGACATGTTTTACACTGTTGAATGAAGTGAAAATGTGGAATTACTAAACCAATAAACAGACCGAATTATCATTCATTAATACATTGATTCTAATCTTTACTTTTCCATCAAAGTATCTGGTTTTAGATGACATTATATTACGTCATTTGTGCATTTGTTGGACATAAAATCTACGTCAGTATGTTGATCAAAGGGATGAATATATCTTAATTGGAATAATTTCCATATCTCTAGACTTGGATAAATGCTACAAATTATAATGCTTTGAAAATGTCAAGCAGACATAATGATCCTGTCTTCACTAGGATGCAGGGATCCTAACTTTGCACATAAAACCTTTTAATGATGTCATACATCCATGTATAATCAAAGAGTTCTGGTAATGGAAATTGTACAAATCAAACCTTTTTTTATGAAGAGGTGCCTTATAAGTTTGAAGGTACACAATGTAGAATGGTATTTAAAGTTGAAAGGAAAAGTAGGAGGAGAATTGACTACCTTCAACTCTCTTCTCTGCATATTTTGGTATATTTTAATTTTTACAAATGGGGTATTGAATTTACTGAAATATTGAAGGAAGAATATTTGATATTATCAAACATTTTTGTGATGTAACTTACTAGACATTTAATAGTCATTTTATTGTAACATTTAAGTGCTTAAAAAAATTTGGTTTTCAATTATACAAAACAACTTCTTATGCAATGTAAATATGTACGATGTAGATATGAATTATTGTTTAATGTTTATAGATTAAAACATGGCATCCATCTGTAGGGCAGTTTGATCCATTATATATATATATGTATCAAGGAATTTATTTCTTCAACTATACATGTACTATAAGTAATGTTTTTATATGTTGGTGACTCTGAAAAACATAATTTCTTACATAGTTCTCCAAATCATTAGAAAATTAGTCATAAACAGTTGTTAAATAGGACCAACTACATCATAGTATCAATTAATGCATGGTATCTAACTTACCATGACCTTATAATTTCATTAATCAGACAATCTAATGGCTTTGACTTGGTCCAGATGTGATCTCAATCAATTTATATTACAATTCAATTTAATTTAATGTTCTTTTTATAGCAGAAAAATTGTAGCAGTTTATAGAGAGACTGGTGAATATTGATTTGAGTTGAAAGAGGTCGCCTGTATTATAAGGGATATTTGGCAGGTTTTGCCAAAAAAATCTGTCCATTTGAAAATACAGTTAGGAATGAATTAAGGTTTTTTCCATGAATTGAAGTTTTCAGTTTGTGATGAATGCATCAGCTCCAGAGGTTAATTTGTCTAATCAAAAGTTTTATACAATGAGATTATCACAATTTTGCAATCAAATGTCATAAGTTGTATTTATAGGACATACAATCTTTCAGCTTAAAAATGTCTAAAGAGTATGCAAAATTGAATTTTGGGGTTTTGCAGAAGAAATATGTAATTGTATCAGTATTGGCCCTTTTTGGCCAAGTGGGTCTAAGTAATACTGTGATCACTTATAAGCCTGTCAACACTGAGGTTACGAGTTCAAACCCTGCTTTAATTTGGGCAAGGATCTGTGTTCAACTCTGATCTTAGTTGGCTCAGGAATGCAAATTTTCCTACCAAAGGTTGGTGGTTCTCTTCAGGCACTACAGCTTCCTCTTCCAATAAAATCAGGCCACCATGATATAGCCAAGAGTGCTGAATGTGGCATTAATCACAAACAATAAATCAATCAATCAATCCACTTTTGCTTATTTACAATTATATATATAGTTGAATCTATTACTAACAGTTAAATTCAATGTGTGGGACAAGCTACAGTCAATTAAGTTTGGTTTTCTGTTACATGTTTATTTTTATTTAGACTTGCATATGAATAAATAAAGTACAACTACATTAGTTATAGTCATAATCTATTAGACAGCAACCCTATGATAAAAATAGCCAAAAAGACATCTATAATGACAACTCACAATCTTCAAGTCTTCTGAATGTCCTTATAATTATGATACTCAGGGGCGGATCCAGCCATTTTTAAAAGGGGGGTTCCCAACCCAGGATAAAGAGGGGTTCCAACTATATGTTCCCATTCAAATGCATTGATCATAAAAAAAAAGGGGGGTTCCAACCACCGGACCCCCCTTGGATCCGCCACTGATACCTTTTGTTTTGCACATTATTATTTACTGCTTAACCAGAACTTTATATTTAAACTCTAAATCAAGCAAACAAATCTTTTATAACTGGGACACAATATTCTCAAAAAGGGGACTGGAGCAAATATCTTTTTTCTTTTTTATACAATTTACATTAGCATGTATAAAAAATCCTTAAAGAAATGTATGTAAAATGTAGATGTCCATTTTATACAGTTTATAATTAATCACATAATTTTATGAATGAATTATAAGCATGATAAGTACATGTGGGTTATAATTTATTTTAGTTAAAATTTTCTTTGACAAGATACAACACTGACATACATAAGTCATATCTTGTCCCTTTAACAAGATGAATTTTGACTAATGAATGATTTTGATAGATTAGTTATAAGCAAGGTCACATCGTATGATAAGTTATGTACATTTACATCCTTAAATGACGTCAAATGATTTTCCACTTTATAGCAATTTATGCAGAAACATTATAAAGTATACATTGAGGCACATGTTGTGAATTTGAGAACACGGCTCTTATTACTAGTAGACACAAGTTTCATTTATAAATTATGTTATTGCTTGTTGAGTGCTTAAAAGAAAAAAAAATGATTGATCAATTGTCAGAGATATTAACTTTTCCAGATACTGTCAAAAAATTTGTTTTGTATAATGTCTGTTCATTGTACATGTAGACAAATGTTTTGTCACCATTTTGGGTTAAGTACATGTTGTACATTATATATCACTGGCAAAATTAGGAAGACCAGAAGAAAAACCTTAAGTCAGATTTAATCCCCCATAAATATTATTGAGTCTGAAATGAAATTTTCTGTAAGAAATGGGTGGGGGATGCTAATATGGCAAGCAAAATCCTAAAGCCAAAGAAAGAGAGTCCATCAAATATTACACAGTAAACTATAAAAGATTGACTAAAAGTAGGGGGTGTACTTGATTATACTAGAATTTGATAGGACTTGACATTTGCAGCCCTAATTTTGATCCTTCTTCATGCCATAGCATACAGATCTTGTTTGCTCACCTGGGAGATCTGTATAAACATCTGTAAGATGTCACAGTGACAGCACTATCTTTGAGGAGATCTTCATGGTCCTGAATCAATGACTGTCCAAGTTCTTGTATTTGTATACAAATCTTGCTCAGAAACAATGCAGAGAACAATCTAGGTAATACAGTTAACATTCTCAGGTAGTTAACACAAGATTCTTGGCAAATTTTATGTAATCAGTCAAAACAAATAGTTCTGCACTGTAAATGTTCTTAACATTACTTATGTATTAATAGAATTGCTTAAGAAATTCAGAAAAAATGCGGTAGAATATTGTTTATAGATATCTAGAAAAATTTTACATCTTTAATCAGCAGTTTTTATACGACCGCAAAAATTGAAAATTTTTTGGTCGTATATTGGTATGACGTTGGCGTCGTCGTCGTCGTCGTCGTTGTCGTCGTCGTCGTCGTCGTCGTCCGGCGTCGTCCGAAGACACATTAGTTTTCGCACTCTAACTTTAGTTTAAGTTAATGGATCTCCATGAAATTTTACCATAAGGTTCAATACCATGAAAGGAAGGTTGGGATTGATTTTGGGGGTTATGGTACCAACAGTTAAGGAATTAGGGGCCAAAAAGGGGCCAAAAATAAGCATTTTTGTAACTTCCAGACAATAACTTGTGTGTAAGTGTATGGATCTCTCTGACATTGTACCACAAGGTTCCATATCACATAGGGAAGGCTGTAATTGATTTTGGGGGTAATTGCCTTAAAATTTTAAGATAAGGGGCCAAAAAAGGGGCAAAAAACAAGCATTTTTCTAGTTTCATGACAATAACTTGTGTGTAAGTGTTTGGATATTTCTTAAATTGTACTACAAGGTTCCATATCACAAAGGGAAAGCTAGAATTGAGTTTGGGGGTAATTGCCCGAAACGTTTAGGAATTGGGGGCCAAAAAGGGGCCAAAAATAAGCATTTTTCTAGTTTCCAGACAATAACTTGTGTTCAATTGTATGGATATCTCTGAAATTGTACTGCAAGATACCATACCACAAAGGGAAGGCTGGGATTGAGTTTGGGGGTGATGAATCATAAGGGGGTTCAAAAAATTTGGGGGGGGGGGGGTTTCTTTTTTTTTTTCTTTTTTTCCTTTTTTTTTTCTTTTAAAATTTTCCATTTTAAGTTGGTTATTTCTGATTTATATTTAAAAGCAAATAATAATGATATGGTAGGAAATACACACCAAACAGGATGTGTAAATTATTATACAATAAGTATTGTGCAATAGCAAGAAATTTTCAATTGCACAGTATTGCACAATAGCAAGAAATCTTCAATTGCACAGTATTGCACAATAGCAAGAAATCTTCAATTGCACAGTATTGCGCAATAGCAAGAAATATCCAATAGCACAATATTGCGCAATAGCAAGAAATTGTCAATTGTACAGTATTGCGCAATAGCAAGAAATATTCAATTGCACAGTATTGTGCAAAAGAATATACTTTGTATAAATTGCTTATTTCTTGATCAATTTCAATGGGGTTTTATTCTTGAATTCTTGGGGTTCTTTAATATGCTGAATCTAACCATGTATTAAGTTTTTGGATTTTGGGCCCTGTTTTTAAATTGGTCCACATTGAGGTCCAAAGGGTCCAAAATTTAACTTTGTTTGATTTCATCAAAAATTGAATTATTGGGGTTCTGTGATATGCCGAATCTAACCGTGTTTTTAGATTCTTAATTTTTGGTTCCGTTTTCAAATTGGTCTACATAAAGGTCCAAAGGGTCCAAAATTAAACTTAGTTTGATTTCAACAAAAATTGAATATATGGGGTTCTTTGATATGCTGAATCTAACCATGTATTTAGATTTTTGATTATGGGCCCAGTTTTCAAGTTGGTCCAAATCGGGGTCCAAAATTAAACTTTATTTGATTTCAACAAAAATTGAATATATGGGGTTCTTTGATATGCTGAATCTAACCATGTATTTAGATTTTTGATTATGGGCCCAGTTTTCAAGTTGGTCCAAATCGGGGTCCAAAATTTAACTTTGTTTGATTTCAACAAGAATTGAATATATGGGGTTCTTTCATATGCTGAATATAACCGTGTATTAAGTTTTTGGATTTTGGGCCCCGTTTTTAAATTGGTCCACATTGAGGTCCAAAGGGTCCAAAATTTAACTTTGTTTGATTTCATCAAAAATTGAATTATTGGGGTTCTTTGATATGCCGAATCTAACCGTGTATTTAGATTCTTAAATTTTTGGTTCCATTTTCAAATTGGTCTACATAAAGGTCCAAAGGGTCCAAAATTAAACTTAGTTTGATTTTAACAAAAATTGAATTTTTAGGTTTCTTTGATATGCTGAATCTAAACATGTGTTTAGATTTTTGATTATGGGCCCAGTTTTCAAGTTGGTCCAAATCGGGGTCCAAAATTAAACTTTATTTGATTTCAACAAAAATTGAATATATGGGGTTCTTTGATATGCTGAATCTAACCATGTATTTAGATTTTTGATTTTTGGGCCCCGTTATCAACTTTGTCCACATTGAGATCAAAAGGGTCCAAAATTAAACTTTGTTTGATTTCATCAAAAATTGAATTCTTGGGGTTCTTTGATATGCTGAATCTAACCATGTATTTAGATTTTGGATATTGGACCATAATAGGTGAATGTCCAATTTAAAATTTTTAAGTTCTTAGACCACATTCATTCTGTGTCAGAAACCTATGCTGTGTCAAATATTTAATCACAATCCAAATTCAGAGCTGTATCAAGCTTGAATGTTGTGTCCATACTTGCCCCAACTGTTCAGGGTTCAACCTCTGCGGTCGTATCAAGCTGCGCCCTGCGGAGCATTTTATTTCCACTTGTGTTTGATAGTATTTCATTAGGAATGTCATTGTATTTCCAGCTCTTGCGTTGAAGTTAAGAACTGATATAGGTGAATTACGGGTGCTTATCCAGAGCCAGTCCTTATGAGGACCCCTTAATCCCTAATGTTGTTTTAGTCTAATTATCAAATGTTGGAGAAACGTGACTATACCAGTATTTTACCGTTTGTTTTAAAGAAAGGGGTAAAGAGAGCTCTTCATTTAAATCAACATTAGGCAGATTAAGCAAAAATGTAAAAATATATCTTAATTAATGAGCCCTTTTGATTGGAAACATTTGTCACAGTAACAGCTTACCCTTTTCTAATTCACCTGGGTTTTTAAGTGTGGTTCTTGCTGCTTAATAGTAAGATGTAATGTTTCGTTGACTAGATGACAATTAGTTTCTTGTGTTTTTTGGTAACTCCTGGCACATTTAGATGATACTCAGCATCTTTTATTCATACTGCTTGCTGTTTTGTCATTTTCTTTTTACCATGATTTTGTCTTTCTTTCTTTCTGTGACTTATAATATTTGGTTGGTCCTTTAAGGTATCTCCATATTTTTTGTGGTGAAGGGTTTATCTTGGGTTCATATGTTCAGAATATGCATGTTTTCTGCTCTTTGGTCGGGTTGTTGTCTCTTTGACATATTCCCCATTTCCATTCTCAATTTTATGAAATACTTCCTGGATGTTCATGGTGTTACGTAGACATACAACAACTTAATTACATGTATAAGTAACAACCAAAATGGTAAATCAAACATTTGAAAAACAAAGACTGCAATTTCTTTGTCAGTTAACTTTACACACTTGATTTGAAGAGACCATATGTTTGAGCGTACATCATCATTTGACCTTTTGCTTCCCAAGTTTCTGAAGAAGGAAAAACATTCTGATTCTGTTTATTAAATTCCATGTTCCCTCAAGATGAAATAACTTGGTTTGTTTACTGTAATGGTGCATTGTCTTTGAACGCAGCTGATTTGAAAATTAAATAGATTCAGTGAAGTTTATCCCCTGTTTCTCATTAAATTGCATTTTCAGCTTGTTTGTGAAAATTACATCATACAAAAGATGAAGAATGAGAGCAGAGTTTAAATTTTCGCTTGTTTAATGCAATTTGTGAATATGATACTTTGATTATGATTTCTAGGTTATTATAAATGGATCCATAGAGATAGAAAAAAAATGTTTTCATGGCTGTTTCCAATTTTTAGTTCCATGATAGCAGTATTGATTGTTAATGGTGACATTTCGTGTAGACTTGTAGACCCTGTTATAATGTGAATTGCATTGGAAAACTTGATATGTCCATTACTCCATGTTTAACAAGTATCTTGTAGTAGATTCCAAGTGATAGGTTCATTTCAGATTTGTTAATATGGGAACTCTACTGCAAAATGCATTCAATATCACTTCTTTACCTAGAAATGGTAATTAAAAGTCTGATAATATATTATCATGTCAGTATAATGTTTTTTTCACAGAATATATTAATATTATTGTATAAAATTGTAATTAGATATAGATTTTTGACTGCAATTACAGTGTTGCTTAACTGAAGTGTTTATGGCGGGGTTTTAACACCCCATTATGCATTTCATGCTGGAGAACATATATAATTTGAATTCTGAATATTGATCTGTTGTTAAAGTTTTTATATAAATATATACATAAACAAGAAGTTTGCCTTACTTTCAAATCTTGTTTTCATCTTTACCTTTGAATAAACCCTGTATTGAATGACATCCAATTTTAGATTGCATTTGTAGATTAAAGTACATACTGAATATCTACTGTTTAAGATTTTGAAAAAAGTACAAAGTGTTCACTTATATATTTTAAGGTCATGTTCAGTATATAAAGAAATTTTTCTATGTAGGTTATATAATATATCATTGTCATGAAGTAAGACTAGAACTTTTGAGATTTATTTCATCCCTGCCCACTCTCTCATTTATAATTTTTTCAAGAAATGATTTTTGTATGTGAATGCCTAGATTAGCTTGTTGTATAATTCTCTATATTTTCAGGCTGAATCTATTTGTTTTCTTTCCACTTTGTAATTCATTAGAGTTGATGTTTTATAAATGGTATTCAGGATTTACTTCTGAAAAAGTTGTCATCAAAATAATACACTGAAGATCAGTAGAGTGGTCAGTATATTGGTTTAATGGTGTCTGAAAAATAAAAGCCTCATGGCAGGGAGAATTGATTTAATTCCAGTCTGTCAGTTATGTTCTGAGAACATCAAGAAATCCTATTTTAGCAATGTGCTGGATTGTTAGCTGCTATCATTAATTGCTGCGTAGGTCACTTCAGCCCACCCCCACTTTTGTTGGATGCAACTTAAACCTGTGCAGATTGCTTAAGCCATCACCCCTATTTTTTGCTGCAAATTAAACATGTACAGATAACCCCTGCCTGTAATCACCACTAAAAATGGTTTTTGGCACCTTTTATTAAGGATAATTCTTTATTTGTTTTAGTAACAACTGGTGTATTTTATTCTTCATTCTCTTGTTTTATTTTTTCCATAAATACATGTACAAATTTAAGGTGTACAGATCACCTCAGCCTATTGTGACTATAGCTGGTAGAAAATACCTAATACAAATCACTTTAGTCTATCACTTTTGTAGATGGAATTTAAACTACATTAACAGACCACCTGAGCTTCTTGCCACTTAAGTTTGTTGCAACTTACCTGTGAAAATGACCTTACCTCAGCCTGTCACCCCTATATATGGCAGAAATTTCTCATACAGGTCACCTCAGCCTATTACCCCTATATATGACAGAAATTTCTCATACAGATCACCTCAGCCTATTACCCCTATATATGGCAGAAATTTCTCATACAGATCACCTCAGCCTATTACCCCTATATATGGCAGAAATTTCTCATACAGGTCACCTCAGCCTATTACCCCTATATATGGCAGAAATTTCTCATACAGATCACCTCAGCCTATTACCCCTATATATGGCAGAAATTTCTCATACAGGTCACCTCAGCCTATTACCCCTATATATGGCAGAAATTTCTCATACAGATCACCTCAGCCTATTACCCCTATATATGGCAGAAATTTCTCATACAGGTCACCTCAGCCTATTACCCCTATATATGGCAGAAATTTCTCATACAGGTCACCTCAGCCTATTACCCCTATATATGGCAGAAATTTCTCATACAGGTCACCTCAGCCTATTACCCCTATATATGGCAGAAATTTCTCATACAGGTCACCTCAGCCTATTACCCCTATATATGGCAGAAATTTCTCATACAGATCACCTCAGCCTATTACCCCTATATATGGCAGAAATTTCTCATACAGGTCACCTCAGCCTATTACCCCTATATATATGGCAGAAATTTCTCATACAGATCACCTCAGCCTATCACCCCTATATATGGCAGAAATTTCTCATACAGATCACCTCAGCCTATCACCCCTATATATGGCAGAAATTTCTCATACAGATCACCTCAGCCTATCACCCTTATATATGGCAGAAATTTCTCATACAGATCACCTCAGCCTATCAAACTATAGATGGTAACATTACTACATGTATATACTGACCACCTCAGTCTATCACCACTCTAGTTGGTTGATGTTAGACATGGCTCAAGCAAATCCTAAAAAAGGCTGTCAGACGAAAGAGCAATCTTGGACTATCACCACTATAGCTGGTAGAAGGTTACAAGATCACCTCAGCCCATCACCACTATAGATGGTTACGTCTGTAGAAATTACATTAAAGAGTGAGAGCATCTCAGCTTTCAATAATTAGTTATGCCTATATATATAGCTACAGCTGGTAGAAACTACCTATACAGATCACTTAAACCTATTATGGACTATAGTGAGAAACTACCTATAAAGTTCACGTCTGGTGATTATGGCTATAGTTAGTAGAATCTACCCTTGAAGACACTTCAGTCTATCACTGCTTTGGATACGTAAGCCCTTCATGCACTGCAGTCAGTAATCATATAGGTGTTATTAAAATGTGAAATTTAGCTTCATTTTGATTTTTGTGATAAGGAGTTTAACATTTACTGGATCCTTGGCACAATTTCTCCAGCCAATGGTTAATGGTCCATTCTTTGCACAATTCCTCCAGCCAGTTGATCGACATAATTAAATTATGATATGAAGTTATTGAAAGTTGAGTTAAATACCAATTGCTTTCTGTCAGTTTTGTACATTCCAAATTTTCCTGTGATCTATTATAAGAAATGGGTTAATATAATCAAATAAAAACATCATAGACGAAAAGAATATTTTTTGAATTATATCTGGAAGAGTGAATGAAAACTATTTTCATGTCAGTAAATAAAAGATAATCAGAAAAAATTTCTGTAAGATCAATTTCTGAATTTTTGGAAAGTATCTCATATCAGATATCAGATTGAATGAAATTCCTCAAGTTTTGCTTTTTTTGTAAGTAGGTAAATAAGTAATAATCAAATCAAAATTGTATCAACATATCTTCAGTAATAGATAACATTCTTTTCCATCTTGAATGGTATTGATATTTTTACATCATAGAGTCACGGTTTTTGGCACCTCATCAAAAATTAAAGATGTATGAAGGATAAATCTTTATTTGTTCTTCAGCTGGTATTATATTCTTCATTATATTTTGTTTGATTTTTTCACTAATATATATAGCTGTACCTTATGATCAAAGCATGCCATTGGTGTAAATACTTCACTGACAATGACACTCCTGCAAATAGAAACTAAATAAAAATTAAATAATTTTGCTACTACATGTATTTTATGCATTAGATGAAGGTTTTGGCATTTGTTTGGCATTCATACATTTTACATTTATGCTGCAAAGAAGATTGAATAGGAAGAAGTATAAAATTTCAAATAATGTTAAATGTTTAAAAACCGAGCTACAATGTAAGAACAAGCATCATGGGATTGAATTGCCCACAATTGTATAATGCAGTATACAATTTAAAGCAGTTGGATCAGCCATCTATGCCCTCATTTTCACTCAGTCCAGTATGACTTGTCATTTAGCATTTGACCCTCTACTATTTATCCTTCTGTTCCATTTCTGCAGATGTTTAAAAAAAAACCCGAATATTTGATATACATTAATTTTAGAACTTGTAATAATATCATAAAGTCATATATTTCACTTAAGTTCTATTATTTAGATTGGGATGCAAAGACCATCTGTTGAATGGACATGCAATGTATATGACATCTTAATGATAATTTCGAACATCACAGTGAGTGCTCTGACCTGACAGTGCACTTAACACATTGCTGAACCATGCCAGAATCAATATTGGTCCTCCTGATGAAGTTTGTTAGAAGTCTTAGAAATTACTTTGTTCATTACTGCTGATGTTTTCCAGTTTCACTTTATTATCCATCACAATAGGAGCTAATTACTCTGATATTTGGAGCGCACAGGTTTAATCACTGCACACGACTCTTGCTGATATTGGACTTTGAACCAGAGGCTTTGGCAATCATCAAACATGAATTTACATTAGACTATTTAACACCCCTCTTTGCTCAAGGTCAATCATTTAATTGTTAAATATAGTTTTTATGGAAGGAAGTATTCATAGTTTATTGGCAAATTTGTATAGCAGTGTAATATATTTTATCTTGTAAAATCAGCTTGCAGTAAATCAGCTTGCACTGAATCTTAGATTTATGAATGATGTCTCAGTTGCTGATGGAAATGTAATATTGTATAAAAAATGAAAATATTCCTTTTATTTTCTCCACCTTCAACATTTCAACAGGTCATTTGCATACTTATTGCTCATTAATTAATTTTTTTTCTTTTCAATACTGTTAATAGTATTGTGTCAATTGGGTATATATTAATTCGTCTAAATAACAGCCAGACAATGTTAGATCTGTAAATTTGCGTAAGCAAATTTTTGTTCTTCCCTGGCAGGGATTCGAACTCATGCATATATATATATAAATTAATGCTAATTACCATATGTACATTGCTGTAGCATTTTTAAACATCAAATTGTAGATATATGAGTTTTAGTTACCAAATGTCAAACGTTTGGTTATGTGTAGATACACGATAGGAGGGACTAAATTGCACGAGAAAGCTCTGCTTTCGAGTGCAATTTAGACCCTCCTATCGTGTATTATTGGGACAAAGTTTTGTAAAATACTAAATTTTAAATATTGCATTATTTCGTCATTTGTCGGTAAACCAAACCGAATTAACATTATAGAGAAGGCAATTAAGCAATCCAATACACAAATAATGCACGATTCAATTATGAAAAAAACTATATTTTTTCATGATGGTTATTCATAAGACAAAATTTTCATTTTTTTTTCAAAATAACTAAAATACATAAGAGTTTATATGCCTAAAATAACATAATAACTCGCGGATTTGACAAATATTTTTGATATTTTACTTACTGGAAATCATATTTTAGCGACTTATTACGAAGCAATGGATGGAGACTTGAGGAGACTTAAGAAGATTTAGAATGTTCTAATATTGTGTTCTTTGATTGACATAAATTTTAATGATTTTCACGTGCTGACATTTGTAAAATTTACAAAAATCTGTGCCTTGTGATTTCGCAGAGATCGAATAAAATTTCCCGCCATTACAGTGCATTTCTTTATTGATAGAATTTACTTTAAAGATAAAAAACATAAAGAAAATATTTCATATAAAGTGATCTTCTATCATTGATTAATCTTTTTGTTTCAAAACTTTCTATATTTTCTGCGAGTGCAAGAGAGTATATTTGATATAAAAACATGAACAAATCGATCTTTTCCAGATTCAAAATTGTTGAGGGATGCTAAAATCGTACCACGTGACCTACAAAAATTTGCACACAGCACCTAAGGCTGTCACCCCTCCTCTGTATAAGGCTATACATATGAAATTATTAAGAATGAAACTTTTAAATAATTCATTGCAATAATGAGGACTATGAGTTTATGTTAGAACATTTCAATTAGTCTTAAAGCATGAACCATTTTAATTTTGAGAAGTGCTTATTTAATCTTATTGCGAATTTTTTTCAACAGTTAATTGGAATTCATTATGTAAGTTAAATTTGTTCCCCATCAAATGTATTTTGAAATAAGTAATGATAATTGACAATTTATTTTGAACAATGGCCAAAACAAAAAATTGTCTCCAAAATAGGGGTTAGTGTGCATAAATAATCCTGAAACTCCTCTGTCTCCAAAATAGGGGTTAGTGTGCATAAATAATCCTGAAACTCTGTCTCCAAAATAGGGGTTAGTGTGCATAAATAATCCTGAAACTCCTCTGTCTCCAAAATAGGGGTTAGTGTGTATAAATAATCCTGAAACTCTGTCTCCAAAATAGGGGTTAGTGTGTATAAATAATCCTGAAACTCTGTCTCCAAAATAGGGGTTTGTGTGCATAAATAATCCTGAAACTCCTCTGTCTCCAATATAGGGGTTAGTGTGCATAAATAATCCTGAAACTCCTCTGTCTCCAAAATAGGGGTGTGTGTGCATAAATAATCCTGAAACACCTCACTTAAAAAAAACTGTTCATACTTGAATTATTGTGTTAATTGGGTTTTGTCTCACCTACTGCAATAGTTGCATTATGTGACTTAGATAAGCTGTGTTGAGAGTGTCAACAATCAATGTTATTTAACACAGGTAAGACATATCTCTGTGTTAACAGTTTATAATTCTTTACCTCCTTTCCTACTTAAATAAAGGAAGAAGAGTGTTGTTTTTTTAAGTAAATGTACAAGAATAAAAACCAGGAAAATTAGTTATCAATCACTTCCTTTGCATACATTGAGATACTTTGTTATAGTGAAATATAGATGGACAATTGTTTACACAAATAATTAAAGCAATTTTCCCAATCAAATGGACAGCAATTATTTGTTGATATATCATTAGGTTGCTTATTTATAATCAGATAATAGTAATCATTATCTTTAATAGCTTAATCATACAGGTCAGCATGGCCATTTGTTGAGGTCATTGTAACACAACATTACACTAATATACATATTTATCGGCACTGTGTACATTTTCCCTTTGATCATACTGCCTCATATTTTTCTATATCATGGACAGGACCTGATACTCAAAAATATTAGGGAATGACGTCACGTCACGTAACATTGTAGCAACGTCACATAAAAACATACTGTTAAAACAAAATTGCTGATAAAAAGAATAACAGCATTTTATTTTTTTATACTGACCTCGACCTTAAGGACTCACTTGATATTCTTGCTGATAAAGTCAGTATCAAAAACAAAGATGCCATTGTTCTATATGGATTTCCATTATTACTTGCATGGTCAACACAGGTATTTTGGGGGAGATGGTTACATGCTATAAAGAATGAAACAGAATTATTTGTAAAAAGTATGTGTCAGTGAGACATCAAAGAAATGAAATCTAAAGGTCAACAAAATGCTTTGACCAATGTACAAGGCTCTATCCAAATTATGACAAGTTCTAAATTGCTAGATTTAATGTAAATAAATATAACAGCGATACAAAAGATCAGTCTTTAACACTAATATAAATAAAGGGCAAAAAAAAAGGCCACTGAACTAAACAGTCCACCAGGGACAAGTTTCCGAACTTAAGGCACTTTAAGCACATAA